GGAAGAGCTGCTCATAGTCCCCAAAGACTCAGAGTAGTGCTGCTCCACGCGCCCGATTGCACTCTAGGCATGTCAGTCTTACATTGCCTCTAAAATGGCCGCGTTTTTTATTTATACGATCCACGGAGAACTGCTGATTGTCATTCGGGTCAAACCTCCATAGTAAAGGTATGTTACACWTGGCACACCGCGCCCCTTTCTTATAGACGTCGTCCACACATAGGTCGAATTTGACCCCCACATAGCGGGGATCCGTACTTTTTTCTTCGTCATGSCGCTTGTAGCGAAGGAGTTTCTTAGCAATGTTTTCTTTGGCTAAATCTTCGGGGGTGCGGTCATAACGCAGTTGCGAACCCCAGGCTCTTTTTAGTTGTTTGGCATATTCTACGCGGCTTACGGCGGTGTATATTAAATTGCTCCAGCACAGCCGCTGGTCTATGATCCATAAGGTTTCTTTTATGGTAAGCCCTTGCGCGCTGTGGACTGTCATGCAGTAACCTAAGCGCCAGTCCGGATGGGTGGTTATTTTTTCCACCTTTTCTATAGGTACCCAGGCCTTATCGTGCGTTACCGCATTCTGCAGTTGGATGTCCGTGCCGGGTACGTAGACGTCTCTGCGCTGCATGCGGGTGTCATGGGGTTTATAACAAACGGGTACGGGATGTGTAGAGAAGCGCTCTTGGTGTATCTTGAAGAGGTCTTTTTGCACGCGAGACTGTGCTGCGCGCTTACCGCTTAGCACCAGATCTTTAGGATGCCAGGCGTATAGAAAGTCCTCGTACTTCTTTGCTCGTACGCGTTTGCGCAGTGTCTTGCATTGCTCAGCGTCGCTAAGGCCTCTCAGTTMTGCTTTTAAGTTACGTATTTGATCTTTGCTGCGGTAGTTGGTGTTAATTTCTTCGGAGTAGTCTACTAGATCTTTTAACCATTCGTGCGGCATTGTGYCTGCTATAGGAGGTGGCTGGCATGGATCCCCAGCAAATACAACTTGACACTTTCCGCGGAGGAAGTCTACGAATTCTTGTAGGATTTCCAAAGGAACGATACAGATTTCGTCCCAACGTATTACTGGCGGTATGTCGTGGATGGCTTCAGGTACCCACTTTTGWYTGTTCCAACGGAAGAAACTGTGGTAGGTTTGTGCGTCGTGACCCATTTGGCAGAGTTCTCTTTCCAGGCGGTGTGTTGGAGTTAACACCTTTATCTTAAGGAAGAGTTCTAACACACGCGTCGTCTTACCGCTGCCCCCAGTACCGTAAAGGTAGGAGAAGAGTTGGTAGGAAATGGGGTCKACAACGGAAGGTAGGGGGTCCGCAGTGGGGTTTACGGAACCACGGGTGTGTTCTCCGTGATATTGTACGCGTTCTCTCCAGGCTTTGATTTCCTCGTCTTTGACGCGCCACTGCCCGCTTTCCGCTATTTCGTCTTCCGTGTAGAATTCTTTGATTCTTTCCAACATATGGGGTTTAATGTACAGGGAATCCGTAGCTACACGCGGTACGTCTTCTTTATCAAATCGTAGGAGCATCGCTAAGAGGTTAATGTGCGCGTATGCGAGCATGCTGGCACGTAGGTGGTAATACTGCGGACGGTGATCTTGGTAGTAACATAAAGCATTCCATTTGTGTTCGCGATGTTCTACAGACACCACAGACACCATCGTTCCTTGTTCGTGAGCGCGTTTGACGAGGAAACTTAGTTCGCCTTCGTCTGTTATCAAACGCCGCTGCATATGTTTCTCACCTTCCATGGCCCCTTGTGTGAACTTCCCTATTAAAATCCGGGCGGTTGGGTTGTGTTCTGGTAACCATTTCGTGAAGGCGCTGCGACATAGTATGGCTTCGTGTACGGTATATTTGAGTAGTTTGCGCTCCTCGAGAAACTTTAGCAGGGGTACGGGTATCCATTCTTTCTCCTGTAAGTGTTTGCCGTACCAGGCGTAGATTATGGGATGCAAACCGTTTGCTAGCTTCCAGGTGGTTAGCCTGACAAATCCTGTGGCTGGTACGTCGTGTGTACCTTCTAAGGCAACGCGAAAGAACTGGGAATCCGGGTGACCGTAGCGGTCGTAATATTCTTTGCAGTCTCCAAGACCCTTAAATGACGCAGGGTAACAATGTTTCATATCTAAGAATACGTACTCATCCTCGTCGTATTCCATGTTCCATAAACCGCMATGTCCATGTTCTACGCCCAAGTCTTCGCCCAAGGTTTCACAAGTACTTCGGATGCGCTGATGTTCAATTTCTGGGCGATATAAGGTACCATCTTGGGTTATAAATTGACTTCCTTCCAAATCCATCAACCAAATAGAATTCTCATACACTAACTCCATTAATGGGGAATTCTGATAGACCTTAACTTCCTTCTTCTTGGGGAATCTTAACTCCCTCCAGGCATGCCCATTGTGCTGGTAGATGGTTATAGGAGCACCACGACCACCATACTTGTGTGTTCCTGGATAAATGAAACCGTCTGTTATGTCTTTTACCATGATACGCCTTTCTAAGGCAGTTTCTAACTTTTTTGTTTTCTATTGTAGCCCCGGCTTTGTAAGTAGAGTTTTCCCATTTCCTGATGGCCTCTTTTCTTTTCAGAGTTAACTTACCTCCGCGGGCGGAATCTTCAAAGAACTCCCTTACCAGCTTACTGACACAGTTACCAGGGTGTCGCATCGGTTGTAACTTTTTTACGTTCGGCCTTTTAATCTCGTATGCTGCGTAGATTACCACGGTAACCGGGTAAGCAACTTCGTAGAACATCATGTCGATGCCTACCAGCGCCCCAGGCCTGGTGTCCTTGTTTAAGACGAATAAGCTTGCTTACCAGACGCCCGGATTGGGTTACGACCCCTTTCTATTGTCCATTCGCCGTCTAAGTACTTTATAAATGTTAATTCCAAACGGTAGTTACCTTCTGACATCAAACTTATTATCCTTTCTGCTCTTTCTTCGTCCACGATTTCTTGTGTGTCTCCTTCTGCGAATGTCGAGAAGGCGAAGTCAGCATCCAACCTATCTAAGACTTGAGTCCGTAATTTGCGCACGGTCTTGTTCTTAATGCTTTTGATGGCATCCATCTATATTTAGGAAATATTTTAATCTTTGTTTGTGACACTACGGAATTCTTTACATTCGTGCATCGTATATAGGACAAATATCTTAACTTAGTACTGCGGGGCACCGATAAAACCCGTAGAGAGCTTTTCGAATCGAATTACGCAGGCAATACCCAGAACGAACTTACGGGTAATACCCACGGCCRACGCACGTACGTGAGGACGGGTAATACCCGCATAATCCCCGGGGGTGACCGCGAGTTCCCCTTACTGCTGCTGGTTAATTAATCAATTAGTTCGACAAGTCAGAGAAGCCCTTATTAACGATTACATTAATTACAAAGACGATAATTCAACAATGCAATTTCATTACAAGACTTTGAAATTGTTTTTTTGTTACGTGAGTCATTTGGGGTGTGTATGGTCTCGTTTTTATCCTTAAAAAAGGTATTTTTACTCGTAAAAGAAAGTTTGTAGACATTAATTAAATGATACATAGAGTGCAAACGATATAACAGTGAAACTTTAGCAATACTAAATAGCACAATGTCGTGCAAATTCCACTGTTTTCTATTGCTTAATTACACAGCTTCTCATTAGTCCCATATTGGTAACTGTCCATTTATTTTCTTAATTGGTCAGGTTTTGTTGATATGGGATTAATTAGGCAGCTATATAATTAATAGGTAACGGGATTTCATGCTCCCCAATCAAGAAATAATTACACTCGAAGATTTCCTCTGACTGCCAAATTGGACTCGTCCTACGGCCTCATCCAATTTTGGAAGTCCTCGGAATTTTCTTCGTTCAATTATCATGGAGTCCTATTACACATACTAATTAGCACTATTTTTTACTATTAGTATATGTAATAGTACTCCATGCTGTCCAATTAAGTAGTAATTGAACGAAGAAAATTCTGAGGACTTCCAAAATTGGATGAGGCCGTAGGACGAGTCCTATTTGGCAGTCAGAGGAATTTTGAAAATATTTTATCATCATCTTTTCGTCTTCTACTTTTGTTGGTGTTTGTAGATGCGTGTAAGTGTTATCCGATTTTATAAGTTTATTGAGAAAATAAAAGCTGTACATAAGTCGGTTAATCAATTAGTTCGACAAGTCAGAGAAGTCCTTATAATCAACAATAAAATTACAAAGACGATTATTTAACAATGCAAGTGGATGAACTCAGTGTTCCTTGAACGTTGCCTTTAAATTATTAATTACATCAGAATGGCAAAAACCCGCATTAAT